ATTTTTTCATGAACGAATTAAGTACATTGAGATCGATTGTCACATTACTTGTCATCATTTCAAGCATGACACAATTAATTTACCCTTTGTTTCTTCTTCTTTGCAGCTTGCAGATTTTTTTATCAAGTCACATTCTATTTCTCGTTTTCGTTTTCTAGTTGTCAAACTCTTGATGCTTGTAGTGCCGCATCGTGAGTTTGAGGGGAGACGTTTAAGAAATATAAAGTTATTTTGTTTTAATGTTTATTAAGGGTAGAATAATATTTTCGGTTTCCTTTGTTTAGCCTATATATAGTCTCTTTATATCTAAATTAAATTGTCTTTTTGTATTCAATTGTATTATGCAGAATTAATAAAACCCCAGCCTCCTCTTTTTTCTCTTTATTTTTTTTGGTTGTTTTACAACTACTATTACATTATCATCATAATACAAAAAAGTACTGTAAAATAGCTTAAAATAACCAGGATGTATTTATTTGGAATAGATTAAATACCGTGTCCAAAGATTCAGAACAGTATAATTGAACAGGGATTAAAAAATAAAAAATAAATATGGTACCTCAAGTTGAAATTCAGTAGTGAGAGAAAAGAGGAGACAAAAACTCTAGAAATGCAGATTAGCAATGTCCAAATCCAGTAGTCGGGGGAAGATTCGAGCGACTTCGATGAAATTGGGCCTGAACAAAATGAGGCCATTATGGAGTCCTGTGTAGTATCTGGGCTAATTTTTGAAGGCCTACCTATTATCTAATGACTATTTATTTAGGCTGAATAACGAAATCGTCAAACCGCAAAATAAAATCAAAACTGCTTTTATGAAAGGGGAAAATTCATAAGTAAGAGTTTAACTGTCACTCATTTTAAAACTAAGATATAATGTTTAAAATTTCAAAAATCAAATATTTATTAAAATTTAGTTATGAAATTATTAATTAAATATATTAATGTCACAATTCCATTTAATTTGATCACAAATTCTCTAATTAATCGATTATAATTTTTTATCGGTCCCAATTCAAAAATATTATGAGTCAAATTATTTTTAGATTACATATAAATTTTTTTATAAATCACAATTTATTTCTCGATCAAAAATCAAAAATCTTTATAGGTCACAATTTATTCATTGGTCACAAAATTAAAATGTTTATAATTTAAAATTCATGTATCGCTCACAAATTATAAATTTTATAAATTACAATTTATTTAAGGGTCACAAATTGTCAAATTAATTGGTTACAAGTTATTTCTCAATCACAACTTAATAAATTGTGAGTCACAGTCATATTTTTTAAGTCACATATTATATTGGTCACAAATTACTCAATTTATTGGTCACAAATATTATTGGTTTCACTCAATTGTCGTCGCCACCAACACTACGACGCCACCAAAATTGCCTGTACCACAATTATTTGTGACCACCGCCTCACCACTACCAACAATGCCAGATTCACTACCACACCAGTGCCAAAGTCCACCGCCTCCACCACCACCACCACCACATGAATCGCCACCAACACCATGACGCCTTTGCCATTGCACCACCATCTTCCCATAATCACGGCTAGCACCATTGTCGTTGTCACTTCCATACCAAGAAGCACAATCACCGTCTCATTTATCTCCACCACACCAGACCACCACCACAAAAAATCCACCACAACCACCTCAAATCTACCTTTCCTTTACCTCTACCACAACTATCCACACCAACTCAAAACTGCAAACTAAAAAAGAGAAAACAGATCAAAGCCTCGATGAATCATCACCGGATGAAACGAAAAGTAGATCCACAAGAAAACAAAAACGGGTTTCTGCACATGATCGTCGCGATAAATCCATTGGTGGTTTAGCATACGATGAAAACGGATGAAAATAGAAGCCTCAAACCACTGGAACAAAATGGTGGTTTTGCACACGATCGTCGCGGCACCGTGCGACAATCGTGTGCAGTAGTGTTGCTGCTACTGCAAGGAGATGTTGCGTCGATCATGTGTAGCTGTTGTGTGCCCAAACCAGTAGCAATCGCCGAAGTAACCTTTCTTCTACTTGTTGACGTTAGAGTCGTCGAATGGAGGGAGCGAGAGAAGGAAGACGTGGGTCAATGAATTGGGATTTTGCAATTTTTAGAGTTTGAGCAGTTATGATTTAGAGAGAGGAGATAGAGAAAAGAGAGAGGATATTGAATATTATTAATATTAAATATTTGAATTAATATCTTTGTATAAGCCCCCGTTTGAGCCACATTTTTTCTCATTTCATTACATTAATTTTTTCACTCTCTTCATCTCAACTACATATTCTCAAATAAAATAATATTACACACAAATCTAAAACTTTTCCACCACATATTTTCCCATCAATCACTGTTCTACAAATTTTCAACCCCAAAAAATGGGGGCCAAACAGGGCCTAAATAAATTTTAGATATGATTTTTGAAATCGGGTCTTTAAAATTCTGATTAGTGTATTATATTTTGTGAAATCCTTGGTTTGGATCCATATGGATTCATCAATATTTTAGTTTTAAACTAAACCAAACCACTTCGAAGTTGTATGATTTAGTATGTGTTTTTCTTCCATTATTGTAGAAGAAATGTAGTAATGAATAGTATTTTTTGAAGAATGTGTGGTTGAAATTTAAAGTTACTTTATTTAAAGTTACTTTATTGGTTTGTGTGTTGAATATTTTATTGGGTAAATGTGTGGTGAAGAATTTTACTGTAGCAAATAATATTTTGGAATAATGGGAGACAAACGGGGCCTTAGGTTTCAACCGTTTTAAACCTTCAAAACGTTTACAAAAAAAATCTGAAAATAAATTAATTTAAATTTTGATCAAACACATTTTAAACTACACGCCCTAGTTAAAAATATACATCCATATTAGACATAAATCAATGAAATTCAATACCTAATAGACAATTATACATCCCAATTAATTAATCAAATCACACTCAAATACTAATCATCACAACCGTTAATGCAAAATTCTCAAATTGGGTAAAGTGCTAAACAATTACTATTGAACCACATTCATTGACCGTCCATTGCAATTGAGTAAACAATTAAATGTAGGTTTTAATTCAAACTTACACATTTCTTTTCCGTCTACTAATAATTTTCTCGAATTTTGGCTAAACTTTCAATCGGTTTATCAAAAATTTTTAAAATAATTTTTTACTATATTTTATTGGTAGTTGTGTTATTTTCTTGTAATTTTTATCGAGCTCCTTTAAATTTTCAGCGGACAATATTTTTTTGTTTATTTGTGTCTTAATTTTCTGATCAAGTCACTGAATTAATTATTTACATTTTAATTTAATTTTTAGATTTTACTGTTAATTACTAGAATGATTTGTTGGATTACTTAAATGATACAAAAATTTTATGACCTTACCCGACACAAAAAATGTAGAATCACAAAAATTTGACAGAGAACTGATACATCATTTGAAAGAGACTGATACAAAAATTTTATGACTTTACTCGAAAAAGTTTATCAGGCATCTGATTGTTAGAATGAAAATCTCACTACATTTAACCTTGAGGGGTTGCTCAATTGGTCAGGTTTTGAGTTTACTCTCCAATGATCACAAGTTCGAGTCTCTTCAGGACCACTGAGATGAGTACCAGACTGTAAATTTCAGAGTCCCGTGGAATTAGTTGAGGTGTGCGCAAATTGGCCCGAATATTCACGATTATAAAAAAAAAATCTCACTAGCTTTATCATATTAACATTGTCAATTTTTAAATTCTTCAACAAGAATAAATGAAGTAACTTGTTTTTTCTTCACAAAAACTACTCTCATTTTAGCTTAAAATGCGTTTTTAAGGGATGAAAACCATTGGTAAGGACTACTTGTGCTTAGTTTTGAAGATAGAGGGGGTTTAATGTCAAAGAAAAAGGTTCGGGATACATTTGAAACATCGGTATACAATGGGCACTAACATGCAATTTTCTCGTAAATAAATGAACAACTTAAACCCTAATTCTTAGACATCTTCCTCAAAACCCTAATTGAAGTGCGGGAGACATCAAGATAATGGGGGGTTCGAGAAGGAGTTACAAGCGTTCGAAGGCGAAGGTAAAAGTTGGACTGCGGAAGAAAAACCCTCGAATATTCAAACCGGCATTCCATCTCCCACCGAAATTGAAGACTCTTTTGGACCCGGATTCAAAATGGGACGAGAAGGCCAGCGTAATCGAGAATTACAAGTCATTTGGCGTTGTTTCGAACCCTAATCTGCTCGGAGTCCGCTCTCGCACCCCTCACATGGTCGAGAGCGACGCCCTCCAGGTCCCTGCCCAAGACGCCACCCCAGTGGATGAGTTTGAGCCCATAGATTCCGGTAGCGACCTCGAAGAAGATGGTTAGTTATTTTTTACTTTTTTCCTTTCGATTCCTAAGTATATCTGTTTTTGGATATTTTATTAATTTCTACTTCGGCATTTTGTTTTGATTGAAAGTTGAATAATTTCTATCGTGGTTGTTATTTATTCACCTACTGTGAATCAGAAACCTGAAGTTAATGCATTGAGATGGGAAAAAGCAAGAAAATAATTAACTGATTTATTAATTCCACTGGAGGACAATGTTTGGAAGGTTCTTTCTTCTTCTAGGTAGATGCGTGGAATTCATCGATGATGTTGAGCTGCGCAATGGTTCTCTGATTGCACCAAGAATTGGTGCCTATTTCATCAGGAAAAACACCAATATTGCAATCTATTACTGATCTTTAGAAAAATTACTTATCTTTGTTTAATTGGTTTATGACCGGAAGAAGATGATCTATCAATAGACTCTCAAATTGATTCTTGTTTAGCACCCGAAACAGATATCTTCACAAATACAATGTGAAAATGGGGTAGATACCTGTGTATGTGTAGGAAATTGCAACCCTAAATTGCTACATCCTGTATTAACTGAAACATTTGTTACCATGTCGTCCACGTAAGAGCTCAACCCTTTGAAAAATGATATCCTCGACACCTGGTATGAGTACTAAACATTAATCTGCAAACACAACTTATCACGGAATAAATAGATGTTAAACCAGGTTGAATACTATGTGTATTTGGTGCAGTAACCAAATATATTGTTGGAAGGGCTATACGAATCTTTCTCATGTCAACTTTTCATCATTCTTTCTCAAATATGCATTGTCCAGCTAATTATAATGTTACATTATGTAAAACATCTATTATATATTAAATATCGCATCAAGTAAGAATTATTTTTTGGACAATTTTCACTTAATTATTTCAATAATAACTTACTTTACGTTTTTCAATATGTAATAAATACTACAAAATCCTTATCATGTATGAATTTCGTGTTATTAATTTTCAATTAATTAACATTCACTTTAATCTAGAATCAATTAATCTTGATCTACATGAATCTAGAGTTATTATAGATGAATTTATTTTTATTTATGCATCTAGGAATTTTAATAGGTGTTTAAATCTATGTACCAACAATTAATTCTTATGTACCAAATGTAATATAAAAATATTGTTCATTTGTAGTATTTCATCATCACAAAATATATGAATCATAGAAGTTGAGTTTTGAGAGTACAATTTTATTTTCTTAAAGTTCTATCCTAAATTTTATTGAATTATATAAGTTGAGTTTTGATAGTACAATTTTTTTCTCTTAAATTTCTATCCTAAATTTTATTTTCTTTAGTTTTTTTGAGATTCATCAAATCCTCCCAACAAATAGTATTAAATATTACTTTTATAGTACTTATAAAGTATTTTAAAATAATGTGCAATGCACGTTAATTTTGACTAGTCTTTGAAGTTTCATAATATTAGCTCAATGCTGTTATGAATGACATGTCCAAAGTAAAGGCACTTGTTTGATCAACAAATTTATTCTTGTATGTTTGACATTTAGATCCATAGTTGTACGTAGCACCTATCCTGGTGTCCAAGCATCAAAGAAAACGTCTTCCGTCACACGTCTTCAATATGATTATAGTGTCTCTTGCCGATATCTACCACGAGTTGCAAATTTTTGCAATGTAGCCCAACCTCTCCCCGAAATCTTAACCATCCATGCGTCACCACTTGCATATACTTTCTAAACAAGACCAGTGACTTGTTTTGATATATCACTAAGCTCTCTTCTCATATGTGTCACGTGCGGATGACGAGTATTAAAGTTATATATATATATGTTATATGATATGAATTTTGTAATGATCCAGCCTCTATACCCAAGTTGATAACTTATGTACTGTCCGCTATGGGAGAGTCTGAGCTCATCTTACCCCTAATATATTTCTATCGTGTCTCCAGGATTCGAACTCTCGACATTTCCCTAAAGAATGACTTAAGTTGAATTCTTGTAACAATTGGACTTTTATAATGATCCGGCCTCCATGGTATGAAAAAATCCTGCTGAGGCCCGTCTCACTGTAAGGCGCAGCTTCTGCGCCTCGAGGCTCAATCTGTGAGGCAAAAAAAATGAGGCGCACGCCTCTACATCTGAGGCAAAAAAAATGAGGCGTGCGCCTCATTTGAAGTACGTTTTTTTCAAGTTTTTGAAAAGGAATTAAAAAGACCCTCTTTAAAAAAGAGAATGGCCTATTTAAAAAGACANTATCTTCAATCCTTCGCTTAAAAAAGGTCCTCAAGTGCTGCTTCTATGTCTATTTTCTCCTTTGCTTCTACCTTCTTCTAGTGACTTACAATTTAAAATTGTTTCACTAGACTTTGCTTGGCTTTTTTCTTGTTCACTGCATAGACGCCAAATTGCACATGTTCTGTTCGGCAGATTACACTTGTTTTGTTTGTGGTGAGGCTTACGCCTCAAAATGTTTTGAGGCTTACGTCTCGCCTTATGACAAAAAAGGCCTCAGTACTCGTTTACGTTTTTTCAAACTATGCCGGCCTCTATGCCCAAACCGTTTACTTACGTATAGTCGCTATGAGAGAGCCTAAATCCATTTTACCCTTATCAGGATTCAACTTAAGTCATTCTCAAGGGTAAGATCAAGGGTTTAAATCCTGGGGACGTGATAGAAATTCGTGAGGGGTAAGATGTGTTTAGGCTCTCCCTTAACGGACGGTATATAAGTTAATGGTTTGGGTATAGAGAGTGAGTCGTTACAAAAAGCGCGCATTTTTTTGTAACGACCTGACTTCTATGTCGAAGCCGTTATATCATACGTATGACACTCTTTAGTCTTTGGGTAGGCATCTTCTCACTTACCCTCTCACGATTTTTATTGCGTTCCCAATATTCGAACTCAAGACATCTGCCTAGTAAGAGATTTAAGTTAAATTTTGTACTTGTACAATTGGTACTAGGATTTAACTTATATGAATATCATTTTTAAAAGAAATGTCAACGGTTCGAATCCTAGGAATGCGATAGAAATTCGTGAGGGGTAAGATAGATTCAATCTCTTCCATGGTGAACAGTACAAAAGTTAAATGTTTGGGCACAGAGGTTGGGTGGTTACAAAAAATCCATGTTTTTTGTGATGACTTGGCCTCTATGCTCAAACCGTTATATCATACGTGTTGTCCACTCTGAGACACGTAAGTCCATCTAATCTCGCGTTTCGAACCCATGACCTTTTTCATAAAAGAGACTTAAATTGAATTTTGCTCCCAGAGCAAACAGTACATATGATATAACGGCGTGGGCATGGAGGTCGCGGCGTTGCACTTTTGGTTTTCAGACAAACTTCATTCTCAAATTGTGGATTCGTGCGAGGCACATGTATCATTAATTTAACTTTCGGATTCATATATGTTACAGTTGTCACAGGCCTTGAATTTGCTTTGGAATTCTTTTTATAATCGTGTACTTGTTCGACGATTTTGTCCAAATAAGTGATAAGTTAGCGATTTCATAGCCAGCTTAGTGTTTGTTGAAATGTCAGATTCCAACCGTGTAATTATTCTGGTGAAGCCATTGGTGCTTCTTGTGAGCAAGACAGCGGTCTGCTAATTCTTGCAAGCTTGTGCTCTTCTAATTTTACTATTTTATCTTTTGCCCATTTTCTTTATCTACTGTGGAATCAGTTTTATTTTCTGTACACATTTATATGGTTTTCATTAATTACTAAACAGGATTTATGCAGCACTTTTTCATTATTGTATACGTAACATTTTCTTATTTAAATAAGATCCCTGCAGTACTGTGTTCATCAATACATAAATTATTTGGCAAAAAATAACTTTTACTGCTAAGTGCTAGTTGCATTACTTTTCAAACGAGTCTATCAAGATGTATGATGCTGGAGCCTCGAATGTTCAATATGTATGCAATTTTTTAAGGCTCTTGCTATAACGTGTTGATTTGTGCATTGTATTATAACTGTCAATGGTCATATAAGTATCCATCAGAAAGTGCTAATCTATGTTCCACTTCCACTTCTGCTTCTGCTTTTTCTTGTTTACCCACTAATGGCATGATGTGTGTGGAACTTTCTAGACTTGAAGTCAGCCCTTGGCAAGAAACGGACAGATGGGAAGCATGCGCCCCTTCAACCACTGACAAAAATCCAACGAATTCATGTTGGTCGATTGGTGGAAAAATATGGAGATGACTATCAGGTAGAGAAAAGAATAAACTCTTGAGAATTATTCACAATTTGTTTGGTTTAGTGTTTGTGCCCAACAAATTTTCTTGTGTTGCAGAGCATGTTCATGGATATCAAATTAAACAAGATGCAACATTCAGTAGCGACACTGGAGAAACTATGCAAACGATATCATATGTACAAAGATAAGAACCCCTTGATAGTTTGTTCTTGAGAGTGATATAACTTGATTTAGAAGTATGTAGTTGGCTTCGTTGTTGTAGTCTGGGCATCTATCTCCCGTTGTGACGAAGTGCATGATTTTATTGTTATAGACTCACCGTTGTTATCTTTGTTATTTGTCTCAACAATATATTGGTGATCTGAATGGAAGTTCCTTTGGTATTTGGAGTCGTATGAACACACCATGGAAAATTCCTGGTAAAGGTATTTTTGGTTTTAAACATTAGTGGCAGAATTCCAGTTTTAAATACTTCAATATTGTGTTGATTACTGTTTAGAAAAAAGTTCAGAATTCTTTCTATAAAGCCATTATCAACAAAAAACATGGAAGAATTTTAGTACATAATATTTTGATTCCACGTTGCCTAAACTGCTTCGAAAGAGCCTTTTACAAAGCTCTTTAATGCCAAGTAAAAGTATTCTTCGATGCTCACTTTTCTCTGGCCTTTTCTCCTCTGTTTTGTGGGAGGAAAGAATGGCCTAAACCATAAAAGCTGCTGCAGTTTCATGTGATAGTGGCATCTCTCTATTCAAGAATTTGTCCTCTAAACATGTCGTTTTCTTCTAATTTGACATGAAACCTACAAATCATTTTGGGTTATTTATTATTCGAGTTCGTTGTTATATTTACTTGGAAAATTTAAACTAATTTGAGAAGTGAAAATTGTAATTTGTGATTATAATTAAAATTGTAAAACCTTTAGCTTAAATGGTACCTCCTTTAATCCGTCTTCGAATGTGCCTTTGCTCGTTAGCATATATTGTCATTTCTTATCTACTTTTAACATGAATAGTCGTTCTTGTAACGTCATCATTTCCACTATGTTTATCTTCTAACCATTGTCGTTAGACAACTCAACTCGTCAAGGAACAATTAAGTCCAATCAAGTTGTTAGGGCTCAAGGCTGCACGTATGAAGTGGTGAGTCTAGATGTTTTGTTCTCTTAGCTGCCTTAACAATGTATTTTTGATATCTCAGCACATTTTTTTTATGACAAATAGGAAGATGTCAATACATTTTTTGACACCTCGACACATTATTTGACTTGGCAAAAATTGAAACTGTCTTTTTGAAACCATTGATTTAGTGTTACATAGACCCATTAACTATTGGTTTTAAATAAAATTTGGTTTAGATTTTAGTATTCTAATAGTGTTTGAAACAAGGGAGGTGCTACAAGTATATCGGAGTGTACATAAGGGTGTCCATTATGGACACCCGGCACCTCCTTATTAGTATTTAATTAAATATAAAAAAATCTGGATCTATATATAAAATATCTGATTTTTGAAACTTAAACCTTAAAATCTAATTTTGGAATTTGAATCTCCAAAAGTAGGGAATTGGGTAATTTTCACTTTAATCCGTCTTCGAATGTGCCTTTGCTCGTTAGCCTATATTGTCATTTCTTATCTACTTTTAACATGAATAGTCGTTCTTGTAACGTCATCATTTCCACAATGTTTATCTTCTAACCATTGTCGTTAGACAACTCAACTCGTCAAGGAACAATTAAGTCCAATCAAGTTGTTAGGGCTCAAGGCTGCACGTATAAAGTGGTGAGTCTAGATGTTTTGTTCTCTTAGCTGCCTTAACAATGTATTTTTGATATCTCAGCACCTTTTTTTTATGACAAATAGGAAGATGTCAATACATTTTTTGACACTTGACACATTATTTGACTTGGCAAAAATTGAAACTTTGTCTTTTTGAAACCATTGATTTAGTGTTGCATAGACCCATTAACTATTGGTCTTAAATAAAATTTGGTTTAGATTTTAGTATTCTAATAGTGTTTGAAACAAGGGAGGTGCTACAAGTACATCGGAGTGTACATAAGGATGTCCATTATGGACACCCTTAATCCCTTATGTACCCCTTAATGTACAAGTAGCATTTTCCTTGAAACAAAACTAAACCACTTAGGAATTTTGAAAAAATGGAAATAATCTAATTTTTTTTAGAAAAAAAGGGGATATGGCAGCACTCAGCAATTTCATTTTTCAAATTTAAATCAATTTCCAAATTACAATTTTCATTTCTCAATAACTTATTAATCTAAATAACAAATTTTAACGGCTGTGCTGTATGTACATAATTATGTACATAATGATTTACATACGCGTGATGTAGTGATATATGATCGAGTCATAATTTCTTCAATTAAAAAAAAAAGATTCCTCACTCTTCTTTGACACCTCAACTGTATATAAACTATTACAGAACTTCATTATGTAAGTATCATTATTCAACTTTTATACCTAATGGTATCGTATTAAGCCCCTTACCCAGTAGCCCGACTTTGAATATCAATTGCCTACTGCTCTTTACATTTGTCCAATTATAAACATTCACTTTTAGCATCTGTTGGGCTAATTTATAAATTATTTATAAATCACGATTGAATTTCATTTTTAAACACGCATTTCAACAAATCTAAAAGTAATATTCATTTATCCACAATTCATTTTATCTATTTATATGCACAGTAAGTGACAACACTAGAAAATCAATAAAGCAAAAATATATAATCTGCACCTCAAATGCCTCGTGGCGTTGTCAAAGTTGTGGGTTTTATTATGGATTTGTTGGGTATCATAACACGTCTTAATCTCGATCACTTCTTCAAGAATGAAACAATTTTTCTTATGGATGATAGGATTTAAACCCGTGACATTTTGTATCCAAAACAAACACGTAATTAAGCTGCACCGCATCCTTCGATTGCTCTACAATGTGTAGATGATTCCCGTCTTGTTTTCCAAAATAGGATTTTTTTAAATTTTTATTAAAATATTGTACGTATAATATCATTTTTACTGTTATTTGATTTATTTCTTTATTTCTCTATGAATTTAACGATTGGTTTATATATTCATACTAGTGTAGAAGTACTAAGCTTCCATCAAATTTTCGTATGATGGATCACTATATTGTTTATTATATTTACATGTCAATAAACTAGAAAATCATTCGATAATTCAAGAACTCATGACATCAAAGCGAACCAAAAAAAATAAAAATAAAATGAAACTGTGGCTTCAAACTGTCCAAACCGGACCATTTATTCCCTAACAACTTGTTCTGGAAAATGGAAGCAAAATTTAGGAATGAGGAATAAAGGAGTATAAGAAAAGATTCATCGAGCCTTTATATAGTCTAACAAGAAACCTTGATAAAGAATTTTCAAGACATAACAAGTTATGATCCAAAGAACTCCATGAGAAAACACCCTTTTAACATTCACTACAGTACACACATATCAATAGGAAAAAAGGAAAAAGGAAATAAGAAACAGCATTTTCTGCTCAAATACCCATAAATAGCCGGCACTGCGACTCCCAATGCTCCTTCGTCTGATGAATTCTTTCTGTTTTTTCAGTTTTACGACGTTCCTCCCAATACTCGGGGCAGCTGTTGAAAACATTGCACAAATTAGATACACGGTGTACCTAGTATCCAACATGTATGTATTCAACTTAGAGCATGTTTAGTATGTAATAATGGACTTCATAATATATAAGATTTCAGCTATAATACTGTCTAGTGCTACATGATGCTCTCTACCAAGTACCAAACATGGCATTAGAATATAAGTTCACCTTCGGTTCAATAGAATGTGTAACTCCTCCAAGTGTACAGCACCTTCATATACCCCAGCCTGAAATCAATCAATAGATTATTATGAACAATGAGGTGGATGTTTAGAGAAGATACTGCTCTAGTTTAAACATATGAGGGTCAACCATTATTCATTATAAATTTGGGATCAGCTACATGAATCTATTTTTTCACTTCGTTCAACTTCTTGTTGTGTGAGGGTTCTAGTTAACTTAGCCTTGTTTGGAACGTGGTTAATTTATAAACACTATTGGTCAAACCTACATTTTATCCCATACATTCGTAGGACCCAAAAATACTAGGCACTTATCCACCACTTAATTCTATTTGTATATAATTTAAACTGATTATAATCACCTACAAAACAAGCTTAGTGAAAGTCCTAACTTGTAATATTCAGACATGTATTAAATATTTGCACGTAAAATTCCAGCCAGCAGGGACTGAAGAAGTCACCTCTCGACATATGGGACATTTTTCCTTGGGATTTGCTGCTTTCAACCCGTCCACTATGGTCACGGACGCAGCTTTGCAAGCACACATGCAGCAGAAGATATGACCACAAGTAAGAGATACTGGATCAAATACCGTATCCTGTTAGAAACACATCGTTAAACAGCTCGAATATGAGAGATGTATCATAAACAGATGATAAATTTGAGATTCTACAATTGACAATCAAGAATAATGCTAGAAATGCATGTCATATATTCAGTGTTCTAAAAAACGTAAAGCGTAACTAGGTGTAGAAATGAAGCTTCAAACTTTACGAGCTTAAGCAAGCCCGGGCAAGGTTCAGGCGTAAAAAAAAACATTTTCTTATTTTTAATATTATGTTAAATTTTTAATCATTTTAAAAATCATTTAATAAGTAAAATAATACATATCAAACATCTAAAATTATAAAATACTATATTTACTTAATTATTTTTACCATTACTTAATTATATAATTTTTCAAGCTTTCGAAATACAAAAATTAGAATATTTTTCATAATTTCAATTTTCAACTAGACAAGTCCTACTTAATAGATTTATAGGAACTTCATACATACTGTTGAAGTTTACACCAAAATAACTAGTCTCAAGATCATAATTACATAATGTAGTTAGCACCATAGTTTAAATCTTATTTAATTATTTATATAAAGTTATTTTTTATTTTTGTACTGATAAAATCTTTTAAAAATGTGAAATTAAAGTCAAATGAAAAGTTTTTTTTTAAAAAATAAATAAATTTAATAAGCTAAAGTCAAATAAAATAGTTTTTTAAAAAAGGAAAAAAATAAAAAAACTAATAAAGTGCGCCTAGAAAAGACGAAAGAGAGGATACAAAAAATTCAGCTGTTTAGGAAATGGGAAAAAAGCGTC